AACCTTGGAATTCCAAAATACCTTCAAATAAAAAGCATATCTGAGGGCCGCACCCGTAGTTCAGTGGGTGGGAAACTGGCCACATATTACCAGAGCTGGCGGGTTTGAACCCAGCCACAAGCAGCTAAAACAATGACAACTGCAACCAAAAAATAGCGAGGGTTATAGCAGGCACCTGTAGTCCCAGCTACTAGGGAAGCTGAGGCAAGAGAATCACTTAAGCCCAAGAGTCTGAGGTTGCTGTGAGCTGTGACGCCATAGCACTCTACCAAGGGCGATGTAAATAAGATTGTGTTTCAAAAAAGAAAAAGAAAATCATAAGAATTGTTAACAATTGAAATATAAGAGCAAGCTTTTCCCTGAGATCTACATTTTTCATGACTCTTTGAAAATATTTTATCTTTAAAATTCTTTTTTTTTTCTTTTTTGCAGTTTTTGGCCATGGCTGTGTTTGAACCCACCACCTCCAGTATATGGTGCCAATGCCCTACTCCTTGAGCCACAGGTGCGGCCCATCTTAAAATTCTACTGTTAAAATATATTTTACAGTGAAAAGAAAAACTTGCACAGAAATAACTGTACAAATCTTTTCTAGATGACAAACCCAGGAAGGGGCACTGCTGACACAGACGTGTGACTCAAGTGTCAAGTCACATCATCCTATCACTTATAACATCCACACATCCCCATCCAGCTCATAGAACTGGGATGACCCAGAATGATCACAGGGGCCATGTCTCTTTGAATGTCATCCCCAGACAGTTATAAAACCCAGGGCCCAGGAAAAGACAAGAGGGTGGCTGAGAACATGTCACCTTATTAAGTTTCTAAATAAAAACTTCAATCCAAAGACATTCTGGTAAGAAGTCTGTGCCTGGAGAACAAAAAAGGATGAGAGGCACAAAGAATTGTTAAAGCAGAGTATCAAGTGAATATTCTCTGATTTCCTCTCATGTGAAATTGTTAAAAACACAAATATTTTCAAAAGAGTGACCCACTGCTCTGTGAAATATGATAAACAAAACATTCCATCTTTCTGTAAAGTACAATAAAGGACAAATAGTGGATAACGTGAATTGGTGAGTGAAAGTTGACATTTGGGAATGTGGAGCAAAAACTAATTTAGGATTTTACTGCAAGTCCTAGTGGAGTTATGCTACAGAACTGGTACATTTGAGATCCTGTTCTCCATTCATTTGGAAAATGCAGGGAAAAACAAGTCCTTCTGTGGAGTATTAAAAGAAATAAATAGCTGGAAATTAGACTGAACTGACTATTGCACTCTGATTTCCTACCTAAAAATAATGAAATCTAACCCAAATGCATTTTGTAAATTACTAACTTAGAAATAAAAGTTATTGCAACAAAAAAAATAGCCAGGCGTTGTGGCAGGTGCCTGTGGTCCCAGCTACTTGGAAGGCTGAGGCAGGAGAATCGCTTAAGCCCAAGAGTTTGAG